CATCTACACAATGGAATACTACGCTGCAGTAAAAAGGAAGGAACTCCTACCATTCACAACAGCATGGATGGAGCTGGAGAGCATTATGCTAAGTGAAATAAGCCAGTCAGAGAAAGATAAATATCACATGAGCTCACTCATTTGTGGATTATAATGAACAACATAAACTGATTAACAAAAACAGATCCAGAGATAGAGAAGCATCGATCAGAATGTCAAACCTCAGAGGGAAGGCAGGGGAGAGTGGGGGGTGGGGGGGGAAGAGATCAACCAAGGGACTTGTAAGCATGCATGTAACCATAGCCAATGGACACAGACACCAGGGGCATGAGGGTACGAGCTGGGGGGTGGAGGGGCAATGGGGGGATAAGGACACACTTATGTAATATCTTAATCAATAATAATAATAATAAAAAGGAAAAATAAAACACTTTTGCTTGGAAAACCTTAGATTTCTTTTGTATTGTATTTTTTTAGTAAACTATAAATGTTTGCTTAAAGAAATGCCCTCCGGACCGAGAGCATGGGCGCACAACCCCTGGCACAGAGAACGGGGGAGGAGGGGAGTTAGAGGGTGGAACGCTGGAGGGCGGGCACCTGGAAGCCACAAACATCTGGATCCCAACCAGTTGTCTCCTCCAACCACTCATGTGTGCTGCCCACTTTACAGAAGGCAAAGCTGAGGCTCCCACGGTGAAGGGACGTACCAGCTGGCCAATGGAGCGGTCAGGCAGAACCCCCAGCGGTCTGACCCCAGGCCCTGCGAGCCACACCTGCTGGCGCTTGCAGTCATCTGTGTCCTCCTGTTGAGAGTAAGGGGCCAGGGGGCACATGGGGACTGCATTTAGCCCCAGGACATCTGAGATAGTGTAACTGGAAAGAAGTAGCCGCCCCGTTGGGGGGAGAAAAGAGGGGTGTTCTTCCACTGTGCCCGCCGGTCTCCTAGCTCAGCCAGGGCCCAGCCAGCCCTACGCCTCCCCTGGGGCTTTCCCGCCCCGGGCAGCTGCGCGCGGGTGTCCAGGCTCCGCTGCCCACAGCACAGACCAACTCGCATGCATCTCACTCACCTGGGACCACAGGTGGCACGGTCCTGGGCCTCCACCGCGCCCTCGCACCTGCACATGGTGAGGGCAAAGGGGTGCACGGAGCCTCTGAGGACGAGCTCCCAGGGCAGCGCCATCCCCAGGGCCCTGGGGTCCCCACCTGCTGAGAACTCTTCTTCCTGCGCCTTCTTCACCCTCAATTCTCAGCCCATCCGTCCCGGTCCCTCCCCGCCGCCCAGTGTCCCCACCAGCTCCGCTCACTGGTGCCCCAGGCCTTGTCATTAATGTGTCCGCTCACAAGGGTCTTTCTCTCCTCTCCGAGGGTAAACGCCTGCTCTCTGGTGGGCACGCAGCAGGCACCATAAATCCTGGTTGAACGAATACAGAGGATGATATTGGGACACAAGACAACTCCAGAACCAGCTCTTAGGGCTCCTGCCACTTCCTCAGAACTCTAATCCCCCCACCCGCACCCCCCACTTTCCTTTGGGAGAAACAAAGATGGGCTCCCTCTGCCCATGGAGGGTCTGCAGGCGGCCCTGGGATCAGCGCAGGCCTGGCCTGCTAACCGTCCTGCCTCACACCCATTCGCCGCGCTGCTGTTTTATAAACGGAGACAAACTGCGCAGAGCCCTGGTCTGTCTCTGAAGTTGGTTGCTGAAGTGAGGTCTCCATCGTGCTTCTTGGATCGGGAGCCTGGGGGGAAGGAGCCGACTTCACAGGGCGCTAGAAAGGAGGGGGCACAGGCTGGGAGCCGAGGAGTGTGAATCACTTTTAATCACTTAGGGCTCTGCTTTCATCCTGGCAAACCTCCTTATTGAAAAGACACGAAGCGAAGCCCCCATTGTGTGATCTCGGTGCCAAAGGGCACGGAACAGATAAGCTGGGCTCTTCTCCCCAGACACTGACATTTCTCTTCTTAAATTATCCAAATGCCTCCGATGTACTTGGAGACTAAATGAGGCCATTTTCAAAATTACAGGAGAACAAAGAGCCGCCCTTTTTCATTAGAGCTTGACAATAGAGCTGCATTTAAAACGGTGTCGGAATGTACCTGTAGCCTTCTGCCCGCCCCGGTGAGGAAGGCGCTGGGGCGGGGCCTCCAGGCGAGGCCGGCTCAGAGTGGGTGCCCTCGGAGGCACGCTTGTTGCAGCGATTGCTAGCCGGTCACTACTGATCTGTGAAGGGCAAGCTAGCTCTGCGGTGCATACATCGGGGCAATTTCTGTCATTATGGAAACTCTATCTGAAACTCCAGTGTCACCGTTATTATGAGTCAGCCAAGCTGGATAGTTTGTTTCAACAAGTGCTGTGAGTCATCTGAAATTATGTATCATTCATAAGCACAAAACTTTTTAAATTGTTGTATCCCACCTACCTGTGACATTTTGATTCTCTATAGAGTGGGGGGAAAAACAGTATACATTGTAATTTGGTGTCAATTTTTCAGGTAATTGACTTAATAAGTTGAAATGAAGTCGTGGGCCACCCGACTTGCATAAGAGATGTAGAATTAAGCTGTAACTTTCTGAGAGTAGCATCAAAGTTCAGCGCGGTAATTCTGAACGTTGTTTTCCTCCCTTGGTGTTTCAAAGCTGGGAGGATAGCTACCAAGTTTTTCTATCTCAGAAGTGCTGCAGAGTTGATTGGAATAAAGTGCATTTCAAATTTATACTGAATTTTAAGCACAAAAGTATCTATTTGGAGGGCTCACCAGAGATAAGATGCATGCTGCCTGGGGTACTGCTGTGTGTCAAGCCACGGAATGGGCATTTATTTCATGGGACCCTTCGTGTTAATGCATTTCAAGCTTCTTAACCCAACAGACTGGCTTCTGAAACTGACTGAAATTGGATTCTTATCTTTCAAGAATTCAGAAGCTCCACGGATGGTATCTGTGGGCAGATGCAGGAGGGAAAGGACGCGCCTTTCCCAGCAGAGTATTTCTGAACTGATCTGAGCTGCCTTTCGCGTGCATCTGGGAGGTGGGAGATGCACCGACCCCTCTCGCCCGCTTTCTATCCCCGAGCGTCTGTACATGTCATCACCATTGTCACTAACTCAGATCTGCTCCACGCTTCTTACTGTCCATAACTTAAGGTGGGAATGACTGGCCACTCATCTTTGCCCCTTTGCAAACGTAACACTTGCTCCCTGACCTAAGAATTACATCTCATCTTTCCCTGGCCTCTTCCACCAACCTCCCCACAAAAGAGGTTTAAATAGCAACCCCATGTACCCCACAGCCTGCTGTGAAATTCTATGTGTACCCTGTTTTCTTTAAAGTTAGCAATGTGGATCAGCTCCTCCGTGACCAAAAAATAAGAAAGTCCTCAAAGTCTGAAAACATCCTGTTTGGAAGAAGGTACTTAGTGAAATCAGAGAAAAAGACATTATTCTTGAGTTGGGGCAGGAAACACTTATGAAGCATTGTTCTGCACCGGGACTTGTGCCAGGCTCGGCCAGACGTGGGCCCAGGGGGCACCCAGCACTGTCAGGGAGGAAGAACGGGGTCTGGAGCCAGTGGACCTTGCATGATTAGCTGTGTGACCTTGGCCACGCTTTTGTCAAAGCCTCTGAACTTGAACAGTAGTGATAAGTGAACTCCAAATCCTCAGCAAGCCAGATGAATGATACCTTCCGGCAGTGGTCTCAAATATAAAAATTAATGCGAAAAGAATTCATGGCGAACAAAAATCACTAGTTTAGAGACAGGGTCAGCATTGTTGGTTTTTCTCGTTGCCCAGGGTCCGGTGGGGTCCGCACTGTCAGGCTCTGTGCGGCGGCTGAGCTGCTGGGATAAGGCCTGGAATCACTCGTGGTCGTGTTCGCCACATTGTGAGAAGGACACAGAGTGAGAAGGACACTGAGATCCACGCAGAACCAAGAGGTGATAGGACCTGAATTCAGGTGCCACGTCGGAGGCCCCCTGTCCTGCTCCCACACGCTGGGGTGGCATTTTGGTCCCTTCCAGCCGAGAGCAGGGCCGGCTCAGTAGGAACGCCCCTCTGACCTGCGCTCCCACCCGAGGAGTGAGACATCCTTTCTAATTGCCGGGAGCCTCCGGGCTTTCCTGGACGCATCCGCTCACTCCTTGCTGCTCTCTTCCTGAGTCAACATGCATGCCCTCCCCTGGAAAAGGCCCTGGGGTCTCGCAGCAGCCCCGCGATCTCGGGACCCGCGACCTCATTAAATGCGGCTCCATTGTCAGGACATCGTTTCCGCTGCTTCCTCGCAATGATGAATACGGGTCCCTTTACATTATGCGATAAGTACGTCCTATGGATCGCCTATGGCAGGAAACAGGCCGCTGTTTATCATATTTCAGTGAGAAATGAGTCCTGAGTCCCCAGACCTCATAAATAACCGCTGAGGATATAGCCTATTTACGTTTGGGGGACTTCCCATACATTCCAGCTCTGTCGGTTTTTATTTTGTCAGGCATCTCGCTGCCGTTAATTCAATTAGTCAGCAGTATGGAGCCCCAGCCGGGGCAGCTGCGGTCACGGGGCCGCCGCCCTCAGGAAGCCAGGGAGCGGCTCCCACACCCACTCCCAGGGCGCGGCTCTGTCCGGCGGCCGCTCCCCTGGGGCCCGCGTGGACTCCTGCCTCTGCCCTCTCTGTCCATCCAGACCACACTCCTCCTCCGCGGCCCAGCTGAATCCACGTCCATGTCCTCCCCGGTGGGCTCAGGGCAGCCGTGAGCTCCTCTGTCGGTTGGAGCATTGGCCGTGCCTGTCCCTGCTCCCGCCCACTTGGCCCTCAGCGGTATAAGTTTCCAGTCTTTGCAAGCAGGCTAGAAATTAATTCCACAAATTCACGGAGGTCAACCTGTGCCTCGGTATCTTCCCCCCGAGCACCAGCGCTGGAACTGGGCATCTAGAAGCTTCAGTACATCTTCCCCACGATTAGAGTGGCGGCTGGGTGTCTGTATTTGGGGCCAGCGCTGTGCACTGAAATGAAGTACAACCGAAGGTTCACAAAGCACATCGCTTGCAGGGAGCCCCAAGCCCGCGCCCAGGCGGGGACTCAGCCTTCGCTCATCCCGCAGGCACACGAGCTGCTCCCCCGGCCCTCCCCCCACGGCGCCACGAGCCGCTCCACCCGCCCTCCCCCCACAGCGCCACGAGCCGCTCCACCGGCCCTCCCCCCACAGCGCCACGAGCAGCTCCACCGGCCCTCCCCCCACGGCGCCACGAGCAGCTCCACCGGCCCTCCCCCCACGGCGCCACGAACCGCTCCACCGGCCCTCCCCCCACGGCGCCACGAGCAGCTCCACCGGCCCTCCCCCCACGGCGCCACGAGCAGCTCCACCGGCCCTCCCCCCACGGCGCCACGAACCACTCCACCGGCCCTCCCCCCACGGCGCCACGAGCAGCTCCACCGGCCCTCCCCCCACGGCGCCACGAGCAGCTCCACCGGCCCTCCATCCACAGCGCCACGAGCTATTCCACCCGCCCTCCACCCACAGCGACACGAGCTGCTCCACCGGCCCTCCACCCACAGCGCCACGAGCTATTCCACCCGCCCTCCACCCACAGCGACACGAGCAGCTCCACCGGCCCTCCATCCACAGCGCCACGAGCTATTCCACCCGCCCTCCACCCACAGCGACACGAGCAGCTCCACCCGCCCTCCACCCACAGCGACACGAGCAGCTCCACCGGCCCTCCACCCACAGCGCCACGAGCTATTCCACCCACCCTCCACCCACAGCACCAGGAGCCGCTCCACCGGCCCTCCACCGGCCCTCCACCGGCCCGCCACCCACAGCGCCACGAGCTATTCCACCCGCCCTCCACCCACAGCGCCACGAGCAGCTCCACTGGCCCTCCACCCACAGCGCCACGAGCTATTCCACCCACCCTCCACTCACAGCGCCACGAGCAGTTCCACCGGCCCTCCACCCACAGCGCCACGAGCTATTCCACCCGCCCTCCACTTACAGCGCCACGAGCAGTTCCACCGGCCCTCCCCCGGCCCTCCCCCCACAGTGCCACGAGCTGCTCCACCCGCCCTCCACCCACAGCGCCACGAGCTGCTCCACCCGCCCTCCACCCGCCCTCCACCCACAGCGCCACGAGCAGCTCCAGCCGCCCTCCACCCACAGCGCCACGAGCTGCTCCACCCGCCCTCCACCCACAGCGCCAGGAGCCGCTCCACCGGCCCTCCACCCACAGCGCCACGAGCTGCTCCACCCACCCTCCACCCACAGCGCCACGAGCCGCTCCACCGGCCCTCCACACACAGCGCCACGAGCCGCTCCACCGGCCCTCCACACACAGCGCCAGGAGCCGCTCCACCGGCCCTCCACACACAGCGCCAGGAGCCGCTCCACCGGCCCTCCACACACAGCGCCAGGAGCCGCTCCACCGGCCCTCCACACACAGCGCCACGAGCCGCTCCACCGGCCCTCCACACACAGCGCCAGGAGCCGCTCCACCGGCCCTCCACCCGCCCTCCACCCACAGCGCCACGAGCCGCTCCACCGGCCCTCCACACACAGCGCCAGGAGCCGCTCCACCGGCCCTCCACACACAGCGCCACGAGCTGCTCCACCGGCCCTCCACACACAGCGCCACGAGCTGCTCCACCCGCCCTCCACCCGCCCTCCACCCACAGCGCCACGAGCTGCTCCACACGCCCTCCACCCACAGCGCCACGAGCTGCTCCACCCGCCCTCCACCCACAGCGCCAGGAGCCGCTCCAACGGCCCTCCTCCCACAGCGCCACGAGCTGCTCCACCCGCCCTCCACCCACAGCACCAGGAGCCGCTCCACCGGCCCTCCTCCCACAGCGCCACGAGCTGCTCCACCGGCCCTCCACCAGCCCTCCACTCACAGCGCCACGAGCTGCTCCACCGGCCCTCCCCCGGCCCTCCCCCGGCCCTCCACCGGCCCTCCCCCCACAGCGCCACGAGCTGCCCCACCTGCCCTCCCCCCACAGCGCCTACTGTGCAGCAGCGGCTCTCGCAGCGCTGCTGGCATTTGAAAAACTGTAACTAACGGTAGAGCCTATCCAGGAGATTGTGCTGTCATTCACACGCTCGCTTGCTTTCATCAACCTTCTAACTGAAGCGTCTTTGGAATGCAGGTGTGGCTCCTTGACACGGCTGAAAGGGAGCCCGAAACACTGGTTTCCTCGTCGGGCTATTCGGTATGGACGTGGGACACGGGACACAGGACGCGGGAGTCTCCTGGTGTCCGCGGCTCCGCCCGCACGTCCACGGGGGAAGGTGTAGAAAGAAAACCACGCATCACGCCTGCTGGGTCTTTCCAAAGGAAGCTTCGTGGGGAAAGTCTAACGTTTGAATAAGAGGCTGTGAGCGTTGGCGCAGGTGGGAGTGCAGCTGGCAGCCCTGATCACTTGTTCGCGGGAAAGTGAGGAGCGTGCCATGGTCGGGAGCGGAGAAGGCATGGGCAGGGCCTGGCTGAGCAGCCCATTGCCAGGCCGGCTGCGGCCTCCCGTGGGCCCTCAGCAGGGGGGGCGGGGGGGGGGGGGGGAGCTGGGGCATTTGTTGAAGTTAAGAAGCCGGTGATCTGATGCGGACGTGAGCACATTTTCACGGAGAAGGGTCATACTTTCCACTTCAGAGCTGGCGTGGATCTATCCGTCCGCAAGGGCTGCCGTAAAAAAGTTCCAGAAGCTGGGGCTTAGCAAAGTCCCAGGCCCAGATGTGGGAAGGGCCTGCCAGGCCTCCCCAGTGCCCCCCGCGGCAGCAGCTTTTGGCCCTCCTTGGCTTGTAGAAGCACCCCACCTCTGTCTCCATCCTCACCAGAGCTCCTCTGTGTGTGTGTGGGTGTGCTCATGTGTGTGCATGTGTGTGCATGCACACCCGTATGTGTGTGCGTGTGTGCAAGTGTGTGCAAGTGTGCGTGTGTGTATGTATGTGTGTATGGCCCCAAGCTTCCCCTTGTTAAGGACATACTGGTTTATGGCTTGCCCTAAGGACTTCATCGTAACTTGATCGCCTACAAAAATCCTATTTCTAAATAGCTTGCCCGCTGCGCTTCAGAGCCTCGGTACCATTCTTCCTGCACAATTTCTGCACAGCGAGGCATGTGGACTCCAGAGTCTGCCTGCGGCGCATCGGGAAGCAAGTGTGACCAGGTCTAGTGTGTGCCAGGCACCCGCGACCTTTCACGGGGCGACGCGGTCAGAGGAAGCATCTGAATGCTGGGAAAACTGAAAAGCTGTTGAAAACCACGGAAATGAACACTGGCTCCAGTTAAAAGAATAAGCTGCCGTGTTCCCGGGCAGGTAGTTGAACATGTTAGGGAAGAAAATGCTTCATCTCTTCCATTGAAATGTCACTCCCGGAACGAACAGGAAACTGAGACAAGCGAGGAAATGGCCATCAGAAATTTTCATGTGAAAATTGTTCTCTGCAAGTTCGATATCCTGTTTGAGTCCCTGATGAAAGAGATGAATGAACAGCTTCATTGCTTCCGGGGCTACAGGGATGAGAGGTGGAGAGGGCCCCTGTCTGGGGTCCTGTCCAGGCTGAACATGAGATGGAGTTAGATTGTCACAGACTGACACCCTCAATCCAGCCCCTTCCCCCATTTTTCAAGACCTTTAATAGACAGATGGCTGACGGGTAACAGCCTGATCGTAGTATGACTTTTAACAAATCTATGTGAATTGATCCACTTAGATAGCTCACTGAATATTCAAATACTGAAATATCAGTGTATGGCATCATGGTGAGACTAGAAATCAGCCCCATTTTGAAACAACAATATTTCAATTAAAATATCTTTTTTTTTTAATATGTTTTATTGATTTTTTACAGAGAGGAAGGGAGAGGGATAGTTAGAAACATCGATGAGAGAGAAACATCGATCAGCTGCCTCTTGCACACCTCCTACTGGGGTTGTGCCCGCAGCCAAGGTACATGCCCTTGACCGGAATCGAACCTGGGACCCTTCAGTCCGCAGGCTGATGCTTTATCCACTGAGCCAAACCGGTTAGGGCTCAATAAAAATATCTTGATCACAATAATTTTATATCATCTTCAAGGTTTCCAATCAGTTGTTTCCTGTTCTATTTGCAGCTGATTTTAGTCATAATGTAGGGAGACCACCAGGGCCTGAGCTGCAGTTCTCAGCAACTAAAATGAGATGAGATTGAATAACACAGGTTTTTCAAGGAAAAGATAGAGGTTAGACACTTTTGGAATAATTTAACATACAAATAAAAATAGCTCCTATTTGTTTTCTTGTTGTTGTTTATTTTTATTTATTTCAGAGAGAGGAAGGGAGAGGGGAGAGAGAGAGATACATAAATGATGACAGAGACTCATTTGATCGACTGCCTCCTGGACACTCCACACTAGAGTTGGAGCCCAAAACCCAGGCGTGTGCCCTAACAAGGAATCGAACTGTGACCTCCTGGTTCATGTGTCCATGCTCAACCACTGAGCCACACTGGCCAGGCTCTTGGTCTTTTTTTATTGAGCTATAATTTACAGAGAGTGCAGTGCCTAGATCCTTAGGGTACAGCTACAAAACCCTCATGACATCATTCCTCAGCAGAGGAGCAAGACCTGGAGGGCCACATGGCACTGCTCAGCAGTGTGGAGGTCAGAGCCAGTGTGATCAGCTGTTTTTTAACATTAATCTTAGAGAGAGAAGAAGAAAGAGACAGACAGAAACATCAATTTGTTGTTCCACTTATTTATGCGTTTATTGGTTGTTTCTTGTATGTGCCCTGATCAGGGATTAAACCCATAACCTTGGTATGTAGGGACAATGCTCTAACCAACTGAGCTACCTGGCCAGGGCCATATAAGATTTTGATATATTCTAGTTCATTTTTAAATATTTCATATTCCTACCCTGCCAGAGGCTAAAGCAAGCAGCAGTTAGCATCAAAAAGAGACACTGGAAGGCCAATGGACTTTGATATTCGGCAGGGCTGAATATCAGCACTAGACCTGCTGTGATTGCAATGGCTCGAGGCTATTTCCTGACCTGATAATCCTTACATTGTTTACTAAATTTTACCTTTGATCTGCCTGTACGCATTGCTAAAGGGCAAATGAGTATTCAAAGTAAATAAAAGGAGACAGAACAGTCTCTTCATGAAAGAGGTTCCACCTGGCCCCCCATGCCTTCTAAATTCATATTTCCTGTATAGCATTTTCATTTGTGTGTTGGCCCCTCCTTCAGATCCTGGATCTCGCCGTGCAGGTTGTGGCAATTGGCCCCTCGAACAGGGACCTGAGAAGAAGATTCGCCTGAGCGAAAAACAAAGTGAAAAAGGAAAGGTGGAAACTCACCGGCGAAAAAAGCCCGTGCCAGCTTCAGAGTTGCGACCGTAACGGGACAGGGACGTTTCTGGAATCAGCCAGGTTATAAGGGGGAAGAATTTGAGTAAAAGGCAAAAACATTATTGTGTACTTTTAGCTTGCATGCTCAAGGTTAAAGGAATTAAAGTGTCAGAAAGCATTCTCTTACAGTTTCTGCATATTATCATAGAGTATAATCCTTGGTTCCCTGGTGCTAGAACATTAGACCTTGATCTCTGGAAACAAGTAGGTAGGAATTTAAGGAGAAATCAGGCTCAAGGAAAACGAGTGCCCTTGTCCTCTTTCACTATGTGGGCTCTTGTTAAAGCTGTATATTGCCCACTTCATAGTGAGGATCAAAAGTCTACAGAACGCCAGGATTTATCACCGCGCCCTCCTCCTCCTAAGGCAGAGCCTGTAACACGCCTGACCCTCCACCTCTGGGTGGGAAGGCTCACCAACTAGAGAAAGTGGGGCTAACGGTCCACTCAAAGAAAGGACTCCTTAATGCTCTGTCTGAAAATCACCATATGACACCTTGGGACTGGCAGGTTTTAGCTAAAATGACTTTAGACACCAGTCCATGCTATGGAGAGCAGAATATGATGAAATCTGTGAGCAACAGCTGTTTGTGGGTGTTCACTGGGCTGCATTCTGGCTGCAAGTCCTAGGCACTTTAAAACGTCTGAAAGATCCATGAAAAGAACTCTGATTTATTAAGTCTTGTCCACTTGTCTGCTGATTGTTGTTTATCTGTCTTTGTTGTTTAATTTGTTTATTGTTAGTCCATTAAGCGTGCCTCTGATTTATCTTCATAGAAAAGAAACAGTAGGTGGCCAGGCCATCGCTGAATTTCCCCAGAGCAAACAGAATGTGGGGATGGGGAAAGAGAGAATATGAGTGGTGCACACGGCCTAGAACAGGTCCTAGACAAAGGGAGGTAACTAAAAAAGACCCCCGCCCGTTAATGACTAGGTCTCTCGCCTGTCGCCTTTATTGTGATGCTGTAAAGTGGGCGCCCGCTCTCGGAGGCGTTCTTTAAAGTCTCATTTTTGCCATGTTTTTTTGAAATTTGAATAAATAAGCCATTTCTCACAATTTGGAAACGTGTCCAGGACTTCTATACTCGTGGAGAGGAAGAGGCTAGTTTAAGAGAAGGCGCGCCCCACCCAATTTTGGGTGGCCTCTTGGCCTACGCCCCATCTCTTCACAGATGCTATAGAACAGGCCCGAGACTGTTTTTCTTGGAAGATGGTGAAAATGACACAAGGAAAATATACAGGCTGAATTTGGGCAACAAGATTAGTGTTTCCATAATAATGGGCAGTTTTTGAATAATAATAAATAATAAATTCGCATTCCAAGATTGACTCCCAGGTCCCAGGGGTACTCCTGTTTGTATAAAGAAAAGTGAAGTAAAATAATACTTTAACATTAAAGCCACTGAAAGCCAGTGAGTTAACTCTGTTACAGAATTTGCCAAGGAAAATGCCTTGGATAATAATAATTGGCTTTAAAATCTCAAAGTTGTTAAGGCAAAACATATATATATAACTAAAATGAAGGGTATGTGGTAAATCTTTTTCAGTGGTAATTATATATGCCTAAACATAGTTTTAAGTTTGGTAACTTAAAACTTTGGAATTTACTGAATTAAATAATAAAAAATATTAAATATCTAGGTATTTTGAAGTAACAGGATACTAAAA